CTCTCTTTTTGGTTGGAGAGAGCTGTGGCGGTTCCCTACTGCCCCGTCGCCATCTTGGTCCCCCCTCCTCAAGTTAAAACTTTTATAAAAGTTAGGGATACTGTTTTGGTGGTAGCCTTCAATGATGAATTTTGAAAATTGAGTCCACCTTGGAGCAAAGAGACAGAACTGGCAGGCTGAAAATCCACAATTCACAGGTCTGTAACTACTTTGTGCATCACAGCTGTTGCTTCACGTCAAAGTAATGTCTCCATGACGCAATGTGCTACCCGTCCCTAGAGCCACAACACCCTCCCGGAGAATGGCTTGGCTAAGAAAAACAAAAAACCTCTCACTCCTCTTCAGGAGAGCAAATTGTTCTTTCAGTGCAAGTTTTATTTGAGAAGTTTTTCACCCAAATCTCTGGAGACACTTCCTGAGAATCCATCACGTCATACCCGTGTCCCCAAAACTCTACATGTCACCTGAGTGTATCTACACATACGTGTGGCACCTTCGCCTGTCATTATTTGTGCCACTTCCTAGTTTAGGGCATGGGTTGGCAGCCACTTAAAAGTAGAAGGAAACTAGGCGCTGGTCGGGAGGCTGAGATCTGAGAATCGCAGTTCAAAGGCAGCCTGGGGAGGAAAGTCCGTGAGACTCTCATCTCCAATAAACCACCAGAAAACCAGAAGTGGCGCAGTAGCTCAAAGTGGTAAAGCGCTAGTCTTAAGCAAAAGAGCTCAGCGACAACTCCCAAGTCCTGAGTTCTAGCCCGACAACCAGGAAAAACAAAACCATAAAAACTCTGGAGTGTCCAGAGTTTCCCCTATTTATCATAGGTGCCCTGGTTGAATGAGTGCTATCATCTCAAGAGAGTCTTGGTGGGAGAAGGTGTGGGAGACCTGCCCTGTTGGGGATTAGTAGACAGGGAGCATCCCATTGGCAATTGACCTGTGTACCTGAGTGCAATTCTTAGGGAATCGTGACCAAATCTTGAGTCTAGTAGCCAGGCTAAAGAATAAGACCCAGGGGCTGGGAAAATGGCTCAGTGGTAGAGCGCTTGCCTTGCAGGCATGAGGCCCTGGGTTCGATTCCTCAGCACCACATAAGCAAAAAGAAAAAAAAAAAAAGCCGGAAGTGGCGCTGTGGCTCAAGTGTTGGAGCACTAGCCTTGAGCTGAAGAGCTGAGGGACAGCGCCCAGGCCCAGAGTTCAGGCCCCAGGACCGGACCCCCCCCCCCAAAAAAAAGAATAAGACCCAGCCAATACAAAGGTCTTTAGGGATACGCCAGAATTCCATGTGGACAGAGATTCAGAGAGAGGGACAAAGGGTAATAGAGAAGAAGGGGCTTCCACAGTGGCATGTCTATTTATGCATAGGCACTGCAGAGACTCTAAGAATGTTACATTGTCAAAGTGCTTTTCATTTCAGAGAATTCTCATCTGTATGCTTCCCTTGGATTCCCCGCGGCAGGTACCACGGGGATCATATTCACTTTAGAGAGAATCAGAGAAGTTATGCCAAAGAACTCCTAATAGTTGGATCCCACTGTCTGCTAGCTCCAGGACCAATCTCTTACCCTCCATTTCACATGCTCAGGTGTACTTCAGGGTGATTGTTGTCTTTTGGGAAGAGGAAATAGCCCCAAGAAACATTTGTTTCTTTTTTAACCTCAGAAGGAATTTTACCTCTCACTGTGGTCTGTACTGTGATGAGACTTGTTTTAGGTAGATGCACAAACTGATTCTGGATAGGATGGCTGATGAACAAATACATCTAAGACTATATTAGCTGAGCATAGTGGCACCCATTATAATCCCAGCACTCGGGAGACTGAAGCAAGAGGATCCTGAGTTCAAGGCCAAACTTGGCTGTATAATGAGTTGAAGACCAGCCAGTTGAAGACTATGTAGTATACCTTTCAAAAAGATTTCATCACACAGGCTTTGGTTTGCTGAGTGAGTGTTCCAGATCATGTTATCATAGCCAGAAGTGAGGTTATATTTTTGAATTGTAGAGCTAATATTTTTGAACTAGAATTGTCCAATAGCTTGAGTATGACTCCACAAACAATTGCTTCAGACCTGCAAGAAAGGCAAAAAAAGAAATGAGTATATTGCTCACCAGATTGTACCAACTAGCCTGTAAAGGAAGCATAGTCATATTTGAGTAAACTAGTTTGTAAATTTGATGGTTTGATGACATCTTTCTCTAGCCTTGAAAGTGTGGATTTCTTCTTAAAAAAAAAAAAAACAACTTTCCTCAGAGCCCTTATTTTAATGCTCTGCTTATTTTATGTCAAATGCTTGAAAGTCACTTCCGCTCCCGTCTCAGTTAAATTTGACTCAAGTGCGTAGATTTTGTTTCTAGACAAATCATGAAAAGTTGCAGTTAACCTCTGACTTCAGTCAGTCTTCTCTCTCGTTCTTTTGATACACTTTATTTGTCTTTAATCGCTAGGAGAGCTAAGAAGGATTTCGATTCACAATGATTGAGAGGTTGTAAAAAAATGCAGAGGGCATAGATCTTGGCTCATAAGTTAAAAATCCGATTCTATCCTCAGTTGTTATATGAAAAGTGTCTCTCTGAATTGTTGGCAATATGAACAGAGAGCTTGTCTTCTTGGGTTACCTGATTACAATTTCATTTTTCCTACAGAAGCACACCTAGGTTGGCACCTTTAAGTATCATGTGCTTGCTGCAAAAAATAATAATAATTAAAATGAAATAATTAAACATATTTAAAGCATGTTTCATATCTTTAAGTAGTTGCACAGAGGAGTTGTCATTCATCAAAGCAGTTTATGAACACAATGCATCTTGATCAGTGTCACCCCTTTGAATATTCTCCCCCACCCCTTCTCTCATTCACCCTAGTTTTAGTTTATGTATTGAATTTCTTGCCATTCAACAAAGCAGATGATAGGTATGATACCCATCTTGATCTGTGTCATCATCACATCAATATGTTGACGTGATGCACTACTCCTGAGAATTTGCCACATGCTACCCCTGGGTAGAGCTGGGAGGCATAGTGGTACGGTAACCATGTCATCGAATCCCTGAAATCTCTGAGGAATTCAACTAAGAGAACCACTGGAACACCATTGTGATGCAAAAATGGCTAGGCAGAAAGCAAAGACGCGGGTTTACATTTTCCTATGTGGTACTTTGCAGTGGTTACAAGAAAGAAGAAAATTACAGCTTCTGTCTATAAACAAGTTTGCTGGAATAGAAGCCAGTGGTTTGGGAGTGTGAAAAAAGTTTTTGTTGTTGTTTTTAGCATGTATAATTCATATATCAAACAATTCTCCCACTTGACACTGAATGGCTTTTAGATTCATTGCAGAATTCCTCAATTGGTTTTAGAGCTGTACCTCAAAAAGGGACACTACACATTAACTAGTCATCCTTTCCCAAAGCTCCAATCCCCGCCCCCCCAACCACAGACAAACAGGAGTCAATGATGTCTATAGATTCGATTATTCTGGACAGTTTTTATAAATGGACTCATGCAATAGATGGTCTTTCAAGACTCTTTTCTCCAAATGACCGTAATATTTTTTCCAAGTTCAACTGTGTTGTGGTACATCGTCATTCATCTTTTATCTCCATTAATATTCTGTTGCATAAATATACCATTGTTTATCCATTCATCGGTTGGCTCTGTTTTCTGCTTTCTGTCTATTATGAGTCATGCTGTTCTGGATGTTTGTATTCAAAGCGTTGTGTGGATATATGTCTTTATTTCTCTTGGGTATGGAGCTAGAAGTAGAATTGCAAGATCTTACATGGCACCTGTCTGTGTGACCATTTGAAGAACTGCCAAGAGGTTTTGCCAAGTAGCCGCACCCACTTATCTGCCCGCTAGCAGTATATGGCTGTCCTGTTTCTCCACCTCCTTACCAGTGAATTCCTTCGCGTTTTCATGATCACCATCCAAATGTGTATGCAGCGTGTGTGATTGTGGTTTCCATTTGCACTTCTTGGGGGCTCATCTTGGTGAACAAATGTTTATGTGCAGTCCGGATATCTTGTTTGGAGAACTTCCTATTCCGATCCTTGGTCTGCTTTTATCGCCTGCGTATCCAGTTGTGGTATTTCTTTGGCCTCTCCTGGGCATTGCTTATTAGGTCTAAGGTGTGCAATCTGTGGATTGTATTCGCTCTCTTCATTGGTATATATCTCTTGAAACATGGAAATGTCCCTTCTTGCCAATGTCCAGCTTGTCTGTTTAATTGATGTTGTTGTTGCTGCTGCTGCGGTTTGGGTGCTGCCTCTAGAATCCCATCGATTGCCTCATTCAAGGTGACTTATCAGTGGCCTGTGTTTTTGCTAAGATTTCCTCCCTCCCTCCTTCCCTCCCTCTCTTCCTTCCCTCCCTGTCTTCCCTCCCTCCCTCCTCCTTCCTTCCTTCCTTCCTTCCTTCCTTCCTTCCTTCCTTCCTGTGTATTGGTACTAGAGCTTGAACTCGAGTCTCTCTCTGTTGTTTATCTGCTCAAGGCCAGTGCTCTACTACTGGAGCCACAGGCCCATTTCTAGTTTTTTTGTTTGAGGTTTTTGTTTTTGTTTTTGCTGGTTAACTGGAGATAAGAATCTCTCAGATTTGTCTGTCTGGGTTTGCTTTGAAATGGGTTCCCCAGATCTCAGCTTTCTGAATAGCAAGGACTAACAGGCATGAGCCACTGGCACTCAGCTTGCTAAGATTTTCATCGATTCAAACTCGGACTTTCAGGTGATGAATCAATTTTGAGTAAGCAGCCCAGCTCTGGCCCTCTGCACACAGTCATCCAGTTACCCCAGCGCCCTTTGCTGTCAAGTAATTCCCTGTGGCTGTCTCATGAGATAGTTGTGTACCATGCCAACGATATGTTTAAATGATGTAGTTTTCATTGCACAAGCTTGTCACTTGCAACCTAGCTCCTTCATAACTGCCTACAGCTTGATGATTCCTTCCTTAGATATTTGTTTTGCTTTTCTCTCTTTGTGTGTATGTGTGTGGGGGTGGGGGGGTGATAGTGGTATTGGTGTAGTGGATGGGTTAGGTTCTTGTCCATCTAAAACCCCCATTTATTGAGTTTGTAGTTTGTGCCAGACATTATACTAAGCCTTAAGAGTTTTTAAGAAAAAAAAAATGTTGCAGAAGAAAGGGAGACAATTTGGAGACAGAGTCTCTGCTCTCTTGAAAGGAGCAGAAAATTAAATAATATAACAAAGAAAATCTTGAGCAGTAATATATGAAATATAAAAGGAGCTTGAGTGTGTGTGTGATAGATATACATATAGAGATAGGTAGAGATAAATGATAGACTTCTAGTTGCTTAAAAATGACAAGATAGAAAGCACGTTGCGATTCATGGAGTCTTGCTGCACTTCCGTGTTATTATTGAAATATAAACAAAAAAGTGAACTAGAGCTTTTAGTTCTCATCTTTAGGCTTCTGTTTGCTCTTGGGCTTTGTGATCTTCAAAACTGACTATAACATCAGAGGAAATAAGACAGAAAATTCACAATCTGATTTCTCTTTAATATGAATATTATACTTTCTTAATAAATGGCTGTTTGTTAAAAAAACAAGAAAGAAAACAAGTTTTTAAAAATTTAATTACTGTACCCTTATTCTCTTCTACAGCTTCTCCAGGTTTTTCCTTGCCTTTTCCCCTGTAGAGGAATAGATGATACAACTTCATGTTTGCTCATGTATTTGTTAGGACACATCCTATTTTGATTAATTATGTTTTTAGAGGCACTATAAAATCCAGACTGGCCTTGAACTCACAATCTTCATATGTCAGCCTTCTGAGTGCTGGGATTATAGACATGTGCCTGTTTAATTTGGGGAGGGAAGGGGATGATCAATATCAGATAAATCATACATTATCAAAATCATTTCCAAAAAATTAATGCAGCTGCCTTTTTCCTTTTCTTACTCTGGATGTATCTGATTTTCTAGAAGTTGATCTTTTTTAAAATATTGCCTTCCTGAACTGCATTCATTGTTTATCCTGTATCATCTGGGTCCAAACATCAAGTACTTATGAATGCTGAAATGTAGCATGGAGAGTGATCTTTTTAAGCTAACCAAGGAAATAGGCATGATTTGAAGCTCACCTTTTCTGTCCTGTGAGGCAAAGTTTCATAATGAACCATGTCACAGAACAACTGGAAAAAAATCTGTTGTTGGTGCTAGCACAGATGCTCCCTCAACCTGTCCTGACAAGTCTGCACTATTGTACATTTGTCAGTCAATCGATAGTTTTGCGCTCTTTCAGTGTATTGTATGTCGAGTAGTTGTTAGGAACATGCAGAAGTTCCCAGTCCTTATTGTTTGCTACATGAGCAGGAGAGACCTGTATATTTTGAATGAATTAATACCTAAATCTCTAGGCTAAGTTTCAATGCGATGGGCTGATGCTACGAGTTTTCATTACCCTTGAACAATATAAATTATGTGAATCCTAAATGCACGGTGCACATAATGCTTATTTTCTTACACATTCATGGCAAATATTAGAGCTAGAAAGACCTAAGAAACTCTACAGTCCCTATTTTCTCATTTTGTAGACAAAGAAAGATGCCCAGAGAAGTGACTGATTATCTTACGTGGAATATCTCATTAGTAGCAGAGTAAGTCTGTGTACAAATAAAAGGACTTGGAATAAAAAGAATAGTCTTCCTGTATTTTGACTTCGTGCTTGCTAATGCATCCAGCTGCATGGAGTAGATGCCACCAGTGGCTGTTTTGCACATCTTTTTTATGACTGAGGAAACATAGGCTAATCACGGTTGTGTGTAAGGGACCTCCTGGCATTAGGTTTCCATAAGCAAGTGGTAATAAAAGCATCTTTTACAAGCTGGGCACTGGTGCCTCCTACCTATTATCCTAGTGGTGTAAGAGGCTGAGATTCAGAGGAGTCATAATTTGAAGCCAGCTTTCCCCCTTCTTCCTCTGCCTCAAGATGTGAGATTGCTGCGAATTCTGTTTTTGAGGGATGTAACCGAGGTTACAAAGAGTAAGAGGCTACTGAAATCACTCACCCCAGGAAGGCTTAGTATCTGCTAATAATCTGAAAGGCTAATAAACAGAAAGGCCCCAAATGCACGTGCTACAGAAATTGATTTTTTTTTTCTGTAAACTGGAACTGAAACTGGTTCCTGGTTAACAATGCTTGATTGAGGTCATCGGTATTTTTTCATTTGTTTCCCATCCTATGGATGTTTTCTATAATTGTTCCAGCTAAGTTATTTGTGCCTATCGTTTCCAAATCATGAGCCAGAGATTAAGCAGGGGAATACAGTCCTGAGTAAAGATGAGACCAATGGTTGGGAGGGACCCCTGGACACACAGTGAATTTGTGGGTTAAGAACTATGTCGAGGAAATTTGGGGTTGAATATGGTTGAAGTCTTTGGTATGCACTATGAAAGGAGAACCATGGTAGCTGATGGAATTGTCTTAAGAAGCAGGAAGGGAGAGGGAGAGGAGGTGAATTGGATCAAGGCCTACTGCATGCATGTAGGAAGTGTTTTAAAATGAAAAGAAAAATGTGCTAAGGATATTCAGCTTGTCTATCTCTGATTCATACTCAACTCCTCTATCTGAGAAGTGGTTCTTTTGTGATCCTGTGATCGGACACCAACACGGAGCTAGCCGGTTAGTTTTGAATATTGAATGTTCCCTGAACAAGCACAGCTTGCCTAGGCCCTTAGGCAGTGAGCAAGACCTCTGACCACAAGCAGCCCAATGGGTATGGTGGGAAGAATGGCTTTAATGACAGCACAGCCTCTATTGTTAAATATGCTCATCTGTCTCTTGGACGTAGATGCTACGGCTGTATCTAGAGTTGGTAAAATACATAAGCCTGAATTTAGAGAGTAATTACCCAGATTGTTCAAGTTGAATAAAACCTCATTTGCCAAAAATGAGAGGTCATTAAAAGGGAACACACAAGGTTACCTACATGTTTGCCTTCTATTTAGATGTCACCTAAAAAGAAGATACTGTATTTTTTTCCTACTTTAGAGAAAACGAGTCTATTTGGAAGAAGGTATTCCCAAAGGTATAAATATTGACATTTAAAATAAAATGAAAAGGCCAGTCCACCGATGTATGTAATGATCTCGTCTGTGTGTTGGCTTTGAGTGGTTTTTCTCCTCCCTCTACTTGACCTCGTCATGCCCTTTCTCTATAGAAACCCAGCTGAGGACATACCCTGCCTATGAAATGGTCGTGTATTTCCTGGTGATATATTGGGGTGTGGATGACATAATAATTCACATCTAAGCCAAGCACTGGTGGCTTACACCTGTAATCCTAGCCACTCAGAAGACTGAGATCTGAGGATTGAGGTTCAAAGTCAGCCCAGGCAGAACAGTCCCCCTGACACTCTTATCTCCAATTAACCACTCAAAAACCAGAAATGGAGCTGTGGCTCAAGTGATAGAGCACCAGCCTCGAGTAAAAGAGCTCAGGGACAGCACCCAGGCCCTGAGTTCAAGCCCCGACAACTGACTAATAATGCCCTTCATCCCTGACATGAGAGACACTGCAGTGTACGGTACCATCCTAGTCAGATGTGATAGTTTTACAATCCATGATGCAATTGTAGGCTCCTTGATAGGCAAAACCAAACATGCACAACTAACCATTCCTTCCCTCCCAAGCCATCTGGTCTTCATGTGTTGCAATCTTTTCCTCCACAGAAAATGAAAACCCTGGCAGAGAGGAGGAGGAGCGCCCCATCTCTAGTCCTGGATAAAGCCCTGCAGAAGAGGCCGAGCACCAAGTAAGTACAGAGCTCAGCGCACTCGGCTGGGAGGTACTTGGGACTCTGTGTTGTGTGAAGGTTTCTCAGAGCACATCTACAGCTTGTTTTTTTAGCTGTGGGGTCATTTGTTTATAAGCACCAATGGTGTCTGTGTCATGATAGAAAAGATGGCTCCTAGAGTGTTGTTTGTTGGTTTGGATTTTTCTGAGGACTCTAGCGAGCAGCCTTCACACAAATGATGTGAGCCATGAAACAGCCCATGTAGTCTAGAGTATTTTATTCCTGTATCACGTGCAAATGCCCAGTGTCCAGTAGATCTGTTAAAAAAAATAAAGAAGGGGGGAACACTGTGTCTAATTATTCATGCATATTACCTATTTTATATGTAAAACACGAGTATTTTTGTACATTTTAATGGCTGCTACATTTTATAAAAGCACAGTTGCTTTGCTCTTTTTAGAACCCTTTCCCAAAGCCATGTGGATGTACATTATCTTGTGCTCTCGTCACATTGAGCAACTTCTTAGCATCCTGCTCTTAAATTTAAATATAGCAAATATACCGATTATAAGGAGGTCATGCATGTAACTGCTTCATCCTCATTCAGGAGAATCGTGTCTGAACACACACACACACACACACACACACACACACAGAAATGCAGCACCTATTATTCATTTTATTGTTCCTTTACATTTTTGTTAGTGTTTTACCTATATTTCTTAAATGATGCTCAAGACCTGTGAATTCCAGAATGCCAAAGGTGACATTAAAATAAATGTGTGTATCGACTTTCATAGAACAAAAGGGAATTAGGTGTAGGGCCTGGAGATCCTCTCCAGGCTAGCAGAAATGCTAACACGTGAGTGACTGGAGCATGCCATTGGGATTGCTTTGGCTCAGTGAAGCAGATAATGCGCAGCCATGCTCCTCCACCCAGGCCTCCCCAGCACCTCTGCCATATTTGCTACTTCTGGTAGAGCCGCTTTCTTCTACAGGCTCAGATAGACCTTCCCCAGTAGTGGCAGAATATGACTTTTGTGCCAACAGTAAGGAAAACCAGCTTAAGTTAATGTGGTGTATGTTTTCCTTATGAATTACTATTTTAAAGCATATTTTACGATTTGACTATACATCGTTTTTTATTGTTATTTAAAGGGGGTGTACAATGCGGGTATAGCTGGGTCAGGTAATGAATACATTTATTGTTGAACAGTGTCACCTCTTCCCTTGTTTTCTCCCATTTTTCCCTCCTGACCCCTCTCTCCCATGAATTGTGTAGTTCATTTTCAACATAGTATCTAGTGAATATCACTGCAGCGTTTGTTCGCCCTTTGTCCCAAGTAAGCCAGACCCAAAGAAACATAAGTTGCATGGTTTTCCTCATTTGTTGTAACTAGAATGTGTCTGTAATTTGATAAGTAAACACGCTGGACAGTAAAAGACAAAAAATACATTTGAACGTGATAAATTATACAAGATTCTAGACATGCACACAGTGAGACTAAAGAGAGATGTTCTGAGGAGAGGATCACAATGGCTCCATAATTTTGTATATGCCTTGATCTCGTTTCTCTAGGGGAATAAGTGAACAAAAGGACCATGGCCTATAACAGTTAGTGATTAGGCTGAATGTACACACAATATTTGTAATTACTAACTAGTAACTAACTAGTAAGAACTAGTTATACTAATTACTAGTAGGATTTTGAGATTGGTTCTTTCCATTTTTTTGTGTGTCTTGTCTTTGTGTTTTTTTTTTTTTTTTGGTCGGTCGTGGGGCTTGAACTCTGGGCCTGGGCGCTGTCCCTCAGCTCTTCAGCTCAAGGCGAGCGCTCTACCACTTGAGCTACAAGCGCCACTTCCGGTTTCCTGGTGGTTTATTGGAGATAGGAGTCTCACCGTCTCTCCTGTCCAGGCTGGCTTTGAACCGCGATTCTCAGATCTCAGCCTCCTGAGTAGCTAGGATTACAGGTGTGAGCCACCAGCGCCCGGCGTTTTGTGTGTGTTTTTAATTAAAGATCAAGCCAGGTGCCAGTGGTTCAGGCCTCTAGCCTTAGCTACTCCAGAGGCTGAGAGCTGGGAATCATTGTTTAAAGCTATCCAGGGCAGACAAATCTGAGAGACTCTTACCTCCAATTAACCAGCACACAGCCTGAACTAGAGGTGTGGTTTAAATCATTGAGCAAAATAGCCAAGTGAGAATTCAAGGCACTGAGTTCAAGCCCCAGTACTGGCACAAAAATGAGTAGCAAAATAAATTGGAGATCAAATCCCACTACAAGATGCATGCAAGAAAGTCTGAATTTCGTCCATCTTTGCACAACACATGTTCTTGAAAAGTTGTATAAGTCAGATTTTTATGAACTATCAGCAAATTGTTTTATTAAGAGATGTCACTACTGTTTTTCACAGGGGTCAGAAACAATACAGATTTTTGCATTTCTAACCATTACATGCTGGAAACATGGAACTTTTTTCCAAAGTCCAAGATGATCGGCACATATTTTAGGTAGCACTTGATAGAGGAAAATCCTGGTACCTGCTTCCAAGTCATGACTATCTCTTGAGAAGTGAAAAGGGACCCATTCCTGGATATGAATGATTTTCTTTGCAATGTAGAGTCAGACAGTAAAGAAGCAGTGTTCTTTCTACTGGCATTTCACACGCCTTGCCTCATACCCCGATTTCATCTGAGCCTTGCGGTAGAATTGTCTCTACTGATGCCTCCTGGATCTTCTAAAATAATAATGTGTAGATGATACAAAAAAAAACAAAACTTTTATCCAACTTCAAGCAGACATCTGCAGAGGATTTAAAAGAAGGCTTTCATCTGACAACAGCTGCATCACAATTTAAAAAGAAAAAAGTTTATCAAACAAGCTAGATTTCAAGAAGAAGGAAGACTTAAGCTGAGTGGCTGAATTAACTGTTGGTGCCTTGAATGGTGGGTTTTTTTCTCCCCAGCGGTCTTTGATGAACCAGGGAGTGTAGAAAGGAAGATAAGTTCCAGGTTTTTAACAAGTTTTTGGTCTGTGATCACCACTCAGATCAGCGGTTGATCTGTGTTGTAGTTACACTGTGTGGTATAGTGCATGACAAACGTCTTGGACACTAAGACATGAAAGGTTTGCTAAGGTGAACATTCACAACGCCGCTCATCACACCCAGATGCCTTAGTCTTTAGCACAACAGCGTTCAGTTCTAGGTATAAGGACAGCCTCGCTTATGTACCGAAATTCTCCCTGATAAGCCTCAGGGCACATCCAGTAAAGGCATTCGTTTTCCTAAAAGGTAAATGAAGGTTGAACTCTAGTAGCTTATTGACATCTTTCTAATCCTATAGTTACTTATTTGTCATAATTGTAGTCACTTGAAAGCCATATACCCTGAATCCTAATTGCTGCTTCCTAAACACATACCCTTCAAACTTTGGCCAAATACTTCTATCCCTTTTATCACTGCAATGAAAAACATTTTGAGTTGTGTAAGTCAAATGTAAAGGAAAGACACTGCATAAAGTGGTAAAAATTGGTCCTATTTTACCAAACAGAGTGAGTGTTGTTAGGCAAAAGGCTTCCTAGACACCCGTAGTGCTTTTGATGCTTTTTCAAACTTTAGATTCTTTCAAAATGGCCAGATGTGTGTGTGTGTGTGTGTGTGTGTGTGTGTGTGGTGTGCACGCACACATGCCTGATGCTGTGTGCTATTTCTTCAGCTGCAGTTCTGGGTGGAGATCTTTAGGAGATTGTGTTAAGTTTTTCCATGTTCTCCTGGACTTTGACAGGATCAAATTAGTTTATTTTTTTTAATACTTGCAGAACAGCACGTCCATTTAATTTCTCCATTCCAATGTTATAGCTTATTTTCTTGCTAATTGCAGTCATGATTCAATTTTATCTTTGGTTTTGGCACCGGGAAAGCATTGCTTCATTAGCGCATGCCTGTTTGCCCTTCCTCGCCCTTGTCCAGAGGAACAGCAAGGCCGTCCGAAGATGCCATTACTGTATTTATTGAGCTAGATACTCCCTTCCCAGTGCAACTTGAAGGTTTTCCCAGAGTGTTTTTGGCACTTCGTGATTGACTTTCCTTCAGAACCTTGAGAACAAAAAAAAAAAAAAACACGAAGGAAACAGAAGAACAGATGTTACAACTTAAGGAGGCGCTTCAGATTGTTGTGCTTCAGAGAAAGCTCTGGGCCAGCTTTGGAGCGAGTTTCAACCCTTCTGAGTAACTGCGAGAACTTCAACGAGTTACATGGCTTTTTGTGGACTTTCCTTACCTGTAAAATGGGACTGACCCGTTCAAAGAGTGAATACCATGCTCTATTTCATATCGTTTCATGGCTGGGTACATTTTTGTTGCAATTGCATTATGGCCTGGTTGGGACTGTGTGTCCTTCCTGTAGACCATCCTTCCTGAGACCATTTCCTCCTCTGCCAGCCATGTGACAAGATTGGCAGAGCTGGGGGTAGGGGAGGGACCACTGGACTGCACGACGTCTTTCCTATTCTCACCAACCCCCAACAATTCTAACAGCAACTCGGTAGCACAGACAATAGAAAAACGCGAGGGATGGTCTTTTGTAAATCCCTGATTTTGCATATAACTTAAAAATAAAGCATTGTACTTTTAACTTCATGGCAAAAAAATATTCCATCTATATGAATAAAACTTCTGTACGTTCGCTCTTTTAATCTGCCAGCGCCACCCTTGAGACATCTCACAGTATGCATCCATCACTCTGCTAAAAAAAAATAAGAAAAATAAGTATCCCCTCCCTGTGTAGAGCCAAGCGTTTGCTTATCTGGGATCCGTGTGTGACTTTTTTGTTTGTGTGTGTGTGAGAATACCATACAGAGGAGTTACAGTTACATGGGCAAGATAACGAGTACATTTCTTATCAAGCATTGTTGCCTCCTCTTTGTTTCCCCTTCCCATCCCTTCCCATATTCCTCTGCTCCCCCAACCCAATCCTCCCCTACCCCCCACCAAAGTTGTAAAGTTTGTTTTTTGAC